ACTCTACCTCTAGTTCTTTAACCGTTTGTTTACTGTTTTCTACTGAACTTTGGGTATCTTTATTGCTTACCTCTAAACGTCTAAGTTTAACTTTTTCTTTCTCTAAGTTTAAACGGGAGACTTCCACCATATTCTCCATCTTCTCGGTGGCCTTCGTCATTACTTTATCCAGCACCTGCATCGAATTGTCCATTTTTTCGACCAATTTTTCTTGCTTTTCATATAATATTTTGGTTCCAATTGGCAGTACTGGACGGTTCTCTTCCCATGCTTTGGTCACATCTATATTCTCTCTGACTTTAGGCAAGTTCTTTTTCGGGATTGCACCTCTTCTTTCCATCTCCTTTTTATCTTTTGCTTCTATACGGAATTTTGAAATTACTATTTTTATTTTCTCTGAATGCATATATATATTATTCTTCTGGACTACTTTATTTTCAAAAAAATACTCTCTTACCTCTATCTTTTCTTACTGTCTCCTCGTTTTTATCTTTTGCTTCTCTATCTATTACCGTGATAAAGCTGCTATCGCTGTCGTAGTCGACCAGCGCATGGCCTTCTTCTTCTTCCATCTATATCGGGATTTAAATATCAACTGAACATTAGCATTCTTTTTTTGACAAGATAAACCAACATTCGTATTGACAAATAACAATTTCTATCACTAGATCTTTTTCAGCGATAAAAATTTAATGCTTATGAGGCTATATAGAACGCACTGCAATTCACAATAACCCCAAAGCGAGAAAACCACGCGCCTCTGCAGGGCTATCCGCACGCGCACACCACTGTCCGTTGCGATCCCCAGCACTGCTGAAAAGATCTATGGGAGCTCGGGTTGATCACGCACACGCACGGGGCCCATACAAATTTACGCGGCTTCCCTAAACAGTAATCAAGCTACACTGCACAGCAAGTCATGCTCAATTACCGACCCGATACATATCGATTTCAAAAAAAATAAACTCATATAGAGTCATATAGAGTTTTTATACATACGCATACATTTACATGTATCGCAATCTAGCCATCTAGCATACGCATACATTTACATGTATCGTAATCTAGCCATCTAGCATCGATGCCATGTTGTTAGTCGAAATCGATTATGTGTTTGTGCGCGCCCAGCAACAAATTCTGCGCGCCAAAAACAATGACTCTCGCCGTCTACGATCGGACTTCCGCGCGCCAAAAATTCCGCGCGCCAAAAGAAATGACTCTTGCCGTTCACGATCGGACTTGCACGCGCACGTCGCCGACTTGCTACCAAGCGGCATTTTTCTATCTCTTTTTCCTTCATTATTCTCTACTTCTTTATTACACTTTACACATCTATTCTCTAATTCTCTTATTACCATTATTACCTCTATTTTTATTTCTCGAAAAAAATGGCAAAAACATCTATCTCCTTGTAACAGTATTTATCGAACGAACATTCTTATTAACTGAGAATTCTCTCGTTTTGCTCGTCAGCAACGAGGAATATTATTTACTTACCCTCTAATCTTCTAGATGCTTCTATCTCTTTCTATGCCCTTCGCCGGCGTTTCACACACTTCGTATATACACTTTCGTGCTATGTTCCTCACGCAGGGGAATCGTGCCCTGGGCCCATAACCTATTGGAAATATAATCAGGGACGACTTGAAATGTGGTGAGATGAGCAGGGAACACAACAATCTTGGTCTTTGTACACTCTGAATACTGTCTTTATTATATATAAGTATATCACACTCTGTAACTTAAACCGTAACCGACACGTCTGACGGTGATCGAGGCTCTTGTGAGCACCACTGATGCCCGCACGCACGCGTGGCGCGCCGAGTCGCGCCGCCAACCGGGGGCTGCCCTCTAGAAAGGCGGGAACTTATTGCTCGTTCAAAGTCTTCTTCCAACAGTTACGAATAAAAAAACGTTTTATTACATATAGAGTACGTATTTCTTGCAAGCGACAATACTTATCAAAAACATATAATAGCAAAACTATGGCAATGCATTCCCTTGTTAAATAATATTGCTAGACGTTATATATTGTTATAAGTGAGAATAACTTTTATTTACAATACATGAATAGTGATACGTTACTTATAATACAGCAATAAAGAATATTTTACAATATTTCATGTTTTTAGTTCTTTAAATAAACGCGCGATTTCTCAACGTTCTTATTGGTAGCGCCATTGTGTGTTCGTGCTGACGTGACCCAATCAAGAGAGATACATGACTTGACCAGACTCTCTATTCAGGGACACTAGATCAGAGTTACACCAGAGTTGCGGCAAGGTTGAACGTAACCAACTGTGTAAAATATCAGCTGTATACAACAGTAGCCTGATATTAAGATTATTCGACTAAAATAAGAACATCATAAAATATCATAGATTTGAGAACGATAATGTTAATTTTACAGTACCAAGTAATATGCAGAAATTAATATGCAGAAATTATTTTTCATTTTAAGAGCGGCGACAAAAATCAGCACAAAGGTTATCCCGTTGGCAACACTACAGTAACCTTAACTCGACTTTTATCGTTTTCACCCATCGACATATAAGGTTTGTTCTTTATTGCTGCACTGAGTTCATACTGCACTGCACTGAACGGAACTAGTGCTAGCAGGACAAGTTGTTTGTGAGCAAGTATAAAGAACGCGTCAGTGCAATAATTAACATGGCGATGATCTTGAATGATTTATTTTTTGAATCTTCTGATGATGAAGAAAATAATATGTTTCCATTTCAACCTATTGTGCGTTACGATGACGATGGTATGTATTTTATATGCAATGTATTATTATATTATGAAAAAATTAAAATTTTTTTTTAAATTAATTTAACCTAATGTAAACTAACCTATACTACGTTTACGCGAGCGTTATTTCTGTAGTAACTTACGATATATCACTCGTTTACGCGGAGTAAATTATCGTAAGTAACTACAAAATCCCGTTTACACGAAGGAATTATCGTAAGTTGCTACAGAAGTAACGCTCACGTAAACGTAGTAGTAGTACTAGTAGTAGTAGTACTAGTAAGTATAATTTTTTATTTGCAGATTTTTATGAGTTACACATGTTACATCCAATTTTCGGATTAGTGCAAAGAATTGAACATGTGAAAATAAACAATTATATCGAACATATTGTTCATAATTATAATAACGTTGATTTTCTTATGCACTTTCGCTTGTCAAGAAGAGCAGCATATCAATTAATAGACCAATTTACAGTGTCGGAAATATTTACTTCTATACAAGGTATTAACGAAATCAGTTTAACTTTAAATATATACAGCAAAAAAATAATAAAAATAATACTTAAAAAATGAAAATAAAAATATTTTATTATTTTGTTTATTTATACTTTATTTTTTCAGAACGTATACAAAATAATAAAATAAGCGCTGAAAAACATATTTTATGTTATTTATGGTTTGTGGGTCATCAAACAGGATCTTATCGAGATGTAGCAGATAGATTCGGAATAACAATAAGTGCGTTACACACAGTAATAACAAGAGTAACCGATTTTATTTTAGCTTTAGCGCATCATATTATTAAATATCCAACTGATCTCGAAAAAGAACAAACCTCAAACTTTTATCTACAACGAAAAGGATTTCCTAATATAATTGGTAAATATATAAGAGTATATTCTCACATTTTTAATGTAAAATATTTTGCTCATTGAAATCTTCTCATTATTGAAATCTCTTTCAGGTGCTATTGATGGTTCTCACATCAAAATAGACAAACCTGCGGAAGATCCTGATTCCTATATAAATCGGAAACAATATTTTTCCATTCATTTGCAAGGGACGGTTAATCATGACATGAAATTTATTGACGTATTTATTGGGTATCCAGGTTCCGTTCACGATGCAAGAGTTTTTAAAAATTCAACACTATATAATGATCTACATAATATTTGTGGAGGTAAATTGAAAACAAAAATTGGTTTTATAATATAAATATGGACCTATATTATATATGAACTGTTCATCCCTTACTAGAACAAAGAAATTTCTTGTCTACAGTGTGACAAAGAGATGCAAAATAACTTCACACTTTCCCCTTTAAGAAGTGCGCCCATTGAATGGCGCAGACATTAACAATCAATGTGTACACTTAGAAGAGAAAGCTTGAAGTTATTTTCAATCTCTATCATGCTGCTGCTACATTTTTTTACATGAGCAGTGCATATACATATAATAGTCCATGATTATACATTATATATATATATATATACATATATAATAATAATTTTCAGATAATTATTACCTGTTGGGAGATAGTGCTTATCCTTGTTTGAAACAATTGATTGTTCCATATAAAGATAACGGACACTTGACACGTGCACAAAGATCATTCAACCAGAAACTAAGCTCATGCAGAGTTGTTATCGAAAATGCATTTGGCTGCCTTAAGCAAAGATTTCGTCAGTTATATCACTTTAAATTGCGAGATATACCACGAATGGTACGAGTCATACATGCATGTTGTGTATTACATAACATTGCGAATGTGCAAGACCTACATTATTTTGAACCACAACTAAATGAAGAATATCCTGATATTGAATTACAAAATAGACCAATTGTAATGATCGATAATGCAAGGGAATATGAGGATGATGTGAGAGGAACGCATGTTCGTGACGAAATCTGTAATTTACTATCTCGATAAAAAGAATAATGTATTATAATTCAAATATTTTGTATTATAAATTTTTTTATTTTGTAATGCATAAAATACAAAATATAGATATACATGTATGTTTATAATATATATGCATAAAATTGTAGATATTATATTGCCAAGTAATAAACAAACATCAAGAAAACAGTTTTGTATGTTTACATTACAGTTAGATATTGCAGTTACTACATAAAAAAGTTATTTATTAAGATAATATTTAAAATAAAACAAAATAAACAGTATTGCATTAAATTGAAATAATGCCAAAAACAAAACAAAAATAAATTATAAAACTTTAAGTCTTTAACTCTTAATTAATTATTTAGTTTGTTTATCAAGATAAGCTTTTAATAAATTATTTCTTTCTTCTCTCATTTTGTTTGCAATTATCAATTGCTCCTGTACTTTGTCTAAATATTTTTCATACGATTGTCTCATTTGTCTATATTCCATTAATATCTCTTTTTCTCTTTCAATTTTATCGTGCTTTTCTTCTTGAATACGTTCTATCAGTTCTTTCATACTTTCTTGACACGATTGCAAAACTTTTGCTGTTGTGCCCATTTGCCTTTTGTTTCTGCTTTGCATTTCTTCAACAGAAAGTGTGTTTTGTAGATTAGACTGATTAGACATAGTTGGTGTTGTTGCTATTGGCATTGATTCTTGGTTGGTTGTTCCCGATTCAAATATTGAAATATCTTGACTGGCTGATGCGTTACTTCCTGTCGGTATATTTTCTGTTTCAGATACACCACTAGTGAACCTATAATGACATTAATTAGTATTAAATACATTAAACAATTTGTGTAACAATTTTATTTGTGTATAAAGAAATGTCTTCCATATATGTGTTCTTTAACCATTAACTAAACTTTAGTAATTATTATGTAAAAGATTATTTAATATTATCTAATATAAGAAATAATACACAAATTATTAAAAGAACTTATATAAAACTTACGTAGGTGTAGTTCTGTCAGTTCTCAGTATTGTGCCTTTATTTCCAGATGTGATTAGAGGTTCAATATTATGTTTACTCCCAATTAAATCCGTCAATTCTCTATAATAATGCATTTTATATTATAAAAAATATTTTCCTACTACAATTTTTTTTAAGATAGATATTTGAAAAAAGTTAAAGCAAAAAATCTTAGTGCATAAGTATATATAAATGTATTACATTTGTATATATATTATATTAATTCTTCAGTTAAAATATAATAACTTACGTTTCATATGGACATGTTACTCTACTTCTGCCAGTTTTTTTGTTATTTGTAATCATATTTTTGTAAGCTCTTTCTAATGATTTAAATTTATTTTCAGTTTGTATATTTGATACATTATAGCCTTGTATATTCATTTCTTCTGCTATTTTTTGCCATAATACTTTTTTGTTTCTAATTTTTCTTGTCGTAAGTAAATGTATTTTTTCTTTATACAAACATAAAAATAATTTTGTGCTTGCATCTGACCATGAAAATGTTTCTTCTATACTTTCTGAGCTTTCTGGTATTCTATTTTCCGTGTAGTTGTCTTGTTGATTTTCTTTATTGCTTTCGTTATTATTATCATTTAACGGAATGAACATTGACTTGTTGTTTACCGTACAATTTATGGAGTCGCAGTTAAAATTGATCTCTGAATAACAAATTTGAAATTCCAGCCCTCCTAAAAAAATAATATATAAATTTTCATTTTTGTTGATTTTTTAATTACTCTCATATTTTATATAATAGATAATTTGACTTACCTTCAGAAATGCAAGTAACAAATCCATTTTCATCAATTAAAATATTTCCTGCCGCATCTCTTTGTATAATTGCTGTTTCACTTTCCATGACTTTGCTTTCAGCTGATCTATTAGTTATAAAAATTCTTTTATATTCTGTATAATGTAAATAATTCATAATTTTGATTATAAATACAATTTTATGCAATAAATACACTAGTTTAATATTTAATAGGTTATTTTATATTTACAAACAATAAATAACCTATACTTAACCTAAAGCCCAATAAATAACCTAACTATACTTAAATAGATTATTATTCTCTTTTTTTAATATTTAACAAGTTACTTTAATATTCAATAAGTTAATTTAATATTTATAATTTGTTGTGATTACTTTATTTATATTACTATTTATGTTTTCAGCCATATTTACTTACCCGGTCCTTGCACTGCACTGCCTGACCCTGCCTCAGACCTAGGGCAGCGAGTACACTGAACTATCGCACTGAACTTGGTTACACTGCAATAAAGAACGGTTTTGTTCTACGTTGCACTGCAATAAAGAACGCTTCGGTGTCACTAGTGTACACTAGTGCAGAAAGTTCGGCAATAAATATAGTATAGACTGCGCTCAGTACGGGGATTCTCTAACTCATCCTTAACGACATTTTCGGTATCGTTGCGCAGGTATTATATATAATAAAAAAGCTGCGCAACGATACCGAAACTGTCGTTAAGGAGTTAGAGAATCCCCGTACAGGTATAGAAAAATATGACCGGTGACTCACACCGGTGGAAGAAAAGGGATAGCGACTGGAAAAGGTCAAGCTGTCTCTTTCTATCCAACAATATATAGATAAAGAGGAAACGAGGTAGAAGTCAACTCTACCGGACAGTTTTTGAAGGCTTTCATGTAGGGATCGCGTAGTTTATACTATATGTTGATGTTTCCACCGAACCTCATTTGGACCTTACTTAAAATTTTGTTGGGTAGGGTTCAGATTCGAGTTTGGTGTTTCCACCGTAAGAGTGCTCACCCTGGGTAGCGATCATGTAACTTTTTCCCTAGAGCGGAAACGTGAAAAGTGAAAAATTTCATGTAACTATTTCTTTCTATTGGTATTGAATAGAAAGAGATAAACTTTTCACTTTTCACGTTCCGTCCTAGGGGAAAAGATACATGATCGATCCCCTGATCTAAGAGCGAGCGTGGCGTAGCAGACAGCGCACTGGTCTGCTAAACCAAAGATAATATCAAGTTTGAATCCAGTCCTGGGTCCTGGTAGAACCAAAATAAATAAAATTGTATCGCTTGTCTCTCCTCGACGGAATGGCAGCCCGTCAGGAATATCCCTTGCCTCGAAACCCCCTCTACCTTGCTGTTTGGATTCAGCGTTAAACTGTAGGTCCCATGTGATAATATAAATTTTTATAAACAAATAATTAACATTTTTTGTTTATAAAAAAATACTTGTCTTCTGCAAATTATATCATCTTTATCATAATTTATTTTTATATAATTATATCAAAAATATTTAATTAAATATCTTTAATTTTCTATGTATAAATACATTCATATTTATATATTTAAATATCACATTAGACGAATATCGATCATCGAACATTTAATTTATTATAGTTAAACATGGCCAGATATCGTCAGACTTGAACAGTTTTCGATCAAACACAACCTTAGTTTGACTTATATCTGAACAGATATGGTCAGATGTAATGTATTTTGAATCGCATTCGAGTACAGATATGGTTATATCTAAACAGATACACTTAGATCTGGACTGTTTCGATGAAATTCAATCACAGACATGGTTCGATCTGAGCAGATATGGTCCGATTTGAGCCGTCAAAGACGCCCCATATATAAGGTAAATGTCTCACTGGCCGGACGTTTAAACATAATTCGTCACAAATAATACAATTTATAATATTAGAAAGATCTTTAATATAAATAATTTGTATTTATTCGAAAACTTAAGATTCTTTTTAACAGGAAAAAATTATTTTAATTCACATATATCAATTATTAATTAAATATTTACATAAATAATGGAGCATGTCAATGTACCAGTGGCCGGAAATAGGTTATGGCCTAGTATCCGGACATAACTTGTCCCAGTATCCGACCAATTAGAAAATTGGCATGTTGATGAAAAATATTGTTATAAATAGATATTTAATGACAAAAAACAGTTCTAAATTGATGTTTATATATCATTAATAATATTTTAATAATATTTTATTCTTGTCAATTGCATGATATAGGGCATTTAACTTACAAGTTAAATAAAGTTCTTAACTACCAGTAAACAGGCAGATAAAAAACCGAATAATTAAGCAAAATAATATAATTAGTTAAAAATAAACAATTTCGTGATTTAATAATTAGTTAAAGTTTAATTGTTTTTTCGTCACCGGAAAGCCTTTTTCACTGACATAAAAAATTCAGTTAAGCTCAATGAGGTAATGAAAAATAAATTTTGACTTTGATTATGGTAAAAATAGCTATTATGAATTAATAATTAACTTATTTTAAATTTTCACATTTGTAAATAAAGATAAATTGTCGATGAGTACTCTCTAAATCTGAATCAGTGAAAAGTAACTGAAGTGGCATATTTTAGACAGTTTAGACTGATATCAGTGAATAGTCACTGATGCGTTCAATGACTATTCACTGATATCAGTGTAAAATATGTTATTTCAGTGACTTTTCACTGATTCAGATTTACAGAGTAGTTTTAAAAGGTCTCACATGCAATTAAATGCCTTTAAAAACATTTAATTATTACACTTACCGCACAAATCTATTGATTACAACAGGCGACACTGCATGACACTAACCTCTCATTTTTTGACAAGTTGAGTTCGCACATGCGTTCGGCTATTGGGACCACTGATACTATTAATGTACCAGTATCCGGACACTTAAAAATCGTTTTAATTGTTATTTTTAGGATGAATTTCGTCAAAACGAGTTTTTAACTAATTTTTAAAATTAGATAATTGATTATTTATTTACATATTTAATTAAATATTCAATTTCTATACTATTAGCTAGATGCTTACGCTTAACGAATCTGTTAACAATTGACCATTATTCTGACAAACAACAGACATGTGCTCATTTAATCAATTTTTTTAAATACAAAAACTTAATTATGTTTACTTTTTTTTCACCCATTTAATTGTTAAATATTAAAGTTTTTTTTACAATAATTTCTATTTTTATTTTTAATTGTTCAAATAAATAGTAAGTATTTTTCTTCAATGTGGTCGGACACTGGGACGTTTACCTTAGTTATATAGTTATATATAAACATATTAAACATATATGACTAGATCTGCGCAAACATAAGAAGTCATATCTGAGCATATCTGACCAGATAAAATTTGATTTGGTCAGATCTAATCTTTTTTTTCCGGGTTTTCCATTAAAACATAATTACTCTCAAATCGGTTGTACTTTGTTGAACTGGAACTTATGCCAATAGTATGTATAAATAAGTTTCTATGATTTTGAATCAGATTCGATAGAAATATTCACATTTCGACCTATATGTTTTAATATATCTATATTGACTCCGATTACGCTTAATCGTAAAATAGCAATTAAAATCTTAATCGGAACCAATATAGGACATATTAAAACATAGGACGGAATGTGAATATTTCTATCGAATCTGATTGAAAACCATAGAAACTTATTTATACATACTATTGGCATAAGTTCCAATTATAACCGATTTGAGAGTAATTATGTTTTAATAAAGAATGCAGGTTTAGAAACACAAATCAATCTTATTAGACCGAATAGGATTTTCTAATGGTTTTAATCGAGCTTTTTCAACAGGGAAAGCAGTAAATAATTTGAAGCAAAAAATACCCAGACAACACATAAAAGTAAAAGATGACGAAAATATTGTTACGCCCGCGCTGAGACGGCCTTTAACTCCAAGCTGAAGCGAGCGGTCATTCCGCAGAAGTCGCGAAGCGTTCCCTTGACAACGGGCGGCTGTTAAAAAAAAAACGGAGCCTTAGATTCGAACCTCGGCTTTTAAAACTATTCTGACGTGTTCTCGGGTGTTCCCTTTAATAAAGAGATTTGTTACTCTTTTAATAAACGTGTCGTTATTTCCGCGGGTGCGCGAGTGTGCGAGTGTGAGAGAGTGCGTGTGAGAGAATGCGGAGCGCAGCGCAACAATATGTCTTTTTATAGTCGTCTTTTTGGCTAGACAAAAAGATGTTTAAAAGATGTCTTTTCGACTACACAAAAAATCGACTCTTTGACTGGACAAAAAGTCGTCTAAACGATATCTTACATAACGCTTTTTTTAATGTATCATGCACAAAAATTCTCATAATACATGTCAGGACTAAAGGGCCTATTTTATAACTTTTAATGGCAGTATTGTTATTGTTACGTTGTCGCTGTACATCTTTTGTACCATATACATTATACCTGTATAATATCAACGTAACGAAAACGATTGTCGGTAAAATAGTTATAGAAGAGGCACTTTTAATTTAAAATGTCAACTGATCGACTTGGAGCTACAAGGCTTTGAAGCGCTGAAAAATTATAGTAACGTTCAGCAGAGAAAACAGCTCAGTAAGCGTTTAGTGATTTTATTGTTCCTGATTATATAGTACGTTCTTCTGGATCTATTAAAGGTCTAAAAGAATACTTTAAATCATAGAGCGTTCACTGATACTGATTTATTTTAGGACCCTTAAGCTTCAAAAGTATTACATAGATGAAAAAATTGAAAGCTTGTTGGCCGAATACGATAAATGGAGCATTAAAATTAATAAGAAAGAAAGAATAGGAATTCATGAGGCAATTACCTCTACATTTGACCCAGAATCCGACTTGGATTTTTTTATTGTTTTTAGTTGACATTTTACAAACAAAAACCAAAACTTAATCTAAAAACACAAATATGTGAAAATATGACAAAACTGCAATATAAAGACAATTTTTGCGATGAGTATTATTTAAATAACATACTTTTGGTCCTTGAAATTGCTGCTCCAAATACGTGCAATGAAATGAAGACACAATGTGTTGATTTACGAAAAATACACTTATAAAATAAATTCTACTGTCGATTGCGTGAACACACACGTCTAATCAATTAAGAATCAATTAACACTAATTTTGAGTTTAACAGAATCAATATTTAAGTTAAATTTTTAGATTAATCGCGAAACCGAAAAGCGTATTGAGGTTTAC